AGATGTGTCACCTAGACATTCATTCAAATGTTGAACTGTATCATCAAGAGAAAGGCAGACATCGACTCGTAGTCATGGAGAGCAGTTTCCAGGAGCAGCATCATCTGTACAGAAGTGTGTCTGTTGGGAAATAGGATACTGCCACACTACTGCAGTCACTTCGTCGCAACACTGTTACCCAGACATCAGCAGCTGATACTATTATACCAGTACATCAGTCTTTATTTGGAGAATTGTTACAGCAAATCATTTGTGTCCATGTAACATTGCAGTGTTTACTCACTCAGCTTGTGTGCGGTTTAAATGACATAAATTGTTTTAGGGCTTTAACCTACTGAAATATATTGAACAGTTACCAGAAAAAAACAAAAAACATTCTGTAAACACATGGACACAGTACAACCAGTTTTCTTTTAGAACAAAGAAAACAATAGACAAAGACTTCCTTGTTTCTAGACAGAAAGAAGAAAAACCTACACCTGTCTCAGATAACAACAGAACTGCATCTGCCATGGTAGTTTAGGAATTGCTCGCAATTCTGTATTTCCTCAAGCCGTCTGACAACTGTTTATGTTTGCACCAATATTTGGTTTACATACATTGACCTGCCAGCATATGGTCATCAAGCATATTCATGTGTACAGTTAATCTGTCACATACACTGGGAGGTGTTACAGATGTTGTTTTTCCAAATTGCTGACAGTGAATATATCATCGAATGTTTTATGTTTGTGCTGATTACGCTCTTCAAATTACTTTTGTACTCAGATTGTGAATTGAAGTTTTAGAATATTTTTTTTTAATGTTCAGTAAATGTTGATACTTGCAATATGTTTTTTAAACACAAAATAAACCCATTGTGATAAGAAAACAAATAATTGGATGTTTTCATTGTCTGTGTTGTTGTATACAGTGTTAGGTGTCAGTTTGTATGTATCAGCATTATTTCTGAGTTGAACTAGGACAGGGTTGTTGGGCAGGAAATTCAAGAGGTGCCAACGTGGCCTGGGTAAATATTCATACCAAGTTTGTGTTGAACAAGACGGGGGCACGAAGGTATGAGGGACAAGAGGTAACATGTGAATAAGTCAAGTATCACAGAGAACTTACACAGGTATATACTTGGGCAAATGGGCAGAGTTGAGAGGGCAGTTAGGAGGAGCTTGTCTTGGATAAAGATACGTGTTGGCATTCACTACAGAAACAAAACAACCTATTCAACTTACTAGGCAGTGAGTGTGCCTCGTAGGTGTCAGGCTATCACCTGTGTGTTGATGGGACTCAGGTTTTGGAGTCCAGCCTGTCAGCATAGAATTCCTCATCGTGGCTGACTGGCTGTGTGCAAATTGAGGGGAACTTAAACATTTTAGAGGTTCCCAGTCAGCCAATGTAAAAGTGCCTGTTAACTGAGTTATAGTAATAGAAGTCCAGCTGAGTCAGATAAATAGAGCTTGTTCATTCTTACTGCTAGCCCTAGAGTGAGGGTAATTCAGTGACTGAGGGCATTGAAGCTGTTCAAGTTGAGGCTGTATTGTGGAGTGCCACAAGGAACTTCTCAGAGAATGCGAAGCATAAGAGGTTAATTGCTGTAAACCAACATGTGGACATAAAGTTAGGGTGCTTCGTATTCATATTTATGAGCCAGGTTAGTGGACCTGAATGTCTTTGTGATTAAACCTGTGGCGGTGAACAGTTTTGTTGAGTTATCCTAGACTGTGTGTTCTCAGAGTGCGCACAAGAACCTAGACACTTGGTATATATGCTACATATGCCACACCACAGTTAGTATACAACATACAGGAAGTTTGTATGGTGGTAAAATCAACAACTTGGTGTTTGTAATGTTGTACCTGGGAAGTTTGTATGCTGCTAAAATCAACAATTGTGGTGTTTATCTGTTTGTGTAGAGTGCTTTATTTAGGATATATGATGCCTCGACTTTCCTTGGTTTAACTTCAGCATCACTATTCGTTTACAGACTACCAACAATAAGTTGTAGAGTGGTTGCCCTCAATTTAAAACACTGCTGAAATATGTAAGCGTTACTAACACACACGGACTAACAACAACACGTGCAACACACCTGGCCCAGGATAGAAAACTGCGACTCCCCACTACGCTGTGAGGCAATTGTGGACAAGACAAGACTAACACACAAGATAAAACAGCTATGTGGTGGATGAGGTTGTGGAAGATTACTCCCAGTTTTTGCCAACTCATCTGCTCTCTCATTTCCTTGAATACCACAGTGCGCTAGTATTCACTGCAAGACCAGTTCTGCTTCCTTGGAGAGTAAGCCAATGTTGGTCCTTAGATCTGCAATTAGTTTGTCTTGTTTTTTGCTTGATAGTGCTTGGAGAACAGACAATGATCAGCATCGTAATTGCACTCCGGACATGTCCATAGGTGCTCAGAACCTCCCCTCAGTATGAACCCCAACGTCTGACGGCTAATAGCACCAGCTCTATGTTGTTAATTAACAAGTTGTCTGGCATGTGCGTCTTGTTTTTTTTTTTATTATTGTTGTTGTTGCTATGCCGATCTTAATTCCCAAGTCTGCCATTCTGGCGAGTGATGTGGATTCACTGCGCCCAAAGTCCTCTATCCTTCCCATTTCTCTGAGGGCATTGATAATATCAGCATGATCCATACCGTAATAATAACCAATACTGCTTGCAGACTTGCAGTAGGTTGAACCACGGCCTTCTCTAAAGATGGCCGTGGTTGAACGTGATCGATTTTTTGTTTGTTTTGTTAATAAAAGGATGGACAGAGAGTGTGACAGTGTGTGTGTGTGTGCGTATATATATATATATATATATATATATATATATATATATATATATATATATATATATATATATATATATATATATATATATATATGGGTACTTGTGTGTATTTGTAAGGGCGAATTTGCGTGAGTGTATACATATGTGAGCCTGCCTGTGTATATCCTAACGCGATGGTGTATGTATGTGGGTTGGGTGGAAGAGTGGTGTTAAATGTCAGCACGGCCTGACTACCGATAGACACATGTCGGATCTGGCTGAGGAAGTCAACAATAGTGAAGCTAACTTTCCATACATGTCGTTAAAAAAAGGGGTAGGCAATGATTTAATGAGTCAGACTGGCTGGTGCCAATAAAAACTGTACATGCAAACTCCTACACATCCACATATAACTTGGCGTGAGTTTGTCCAGGGTCGCTTGTGACTGCTCTGCCAGTTCCCTGTAGATGTTTAAAATATCATTCATATGTTTGAATATTTGGGCTCTCATCCGAACTTCTACCCCGGTATTATGGCGCCCGAACAAATATCCTTACTGGGCTCAGTCCTATTAAAAATATGCGAACTTCCGGCGACGAACGAATCGCGGCAAAACTAGCATCGGCTCTGTATAGCGAAACAAATGCTCCAACAAGGTCTCAGCAATATGTTAATTGAGGACCTGTTTCTTATTGTTTCTGATTACCTGACAGTTTTAAGAGACGCAACACTGCAGACGATAGTAGCAGACGATAATAGCGACCGTTGACACTTTCAAGCATTTGTGCAGACGATAAAAGCGAGATGGCCGGGAGACCACATGCGCCGACGCAGATTAGCGTCTTGTTGTCCTCAAACTTTTCGGCACGCGCAAAACGCGGTTACACTTATTGCCGACCGTATCCCATGCGCCGCTACGTGTAGCACGGATGGGGGGCTAAACTGGATGCCTGGGACTCACGAGCAAATTAATTGCAGGAAGTTGCAGGAGATTCTGTAGCTGCTGCTCGCGAGTCCCATCCATCTAGTTTAGCCCCTATCCTGTCAGCGGTGAGGCATAGTCACAGAAACAGGTCCGCAATTAACATATCGCTGAGACCCTGTTAGAGCATGTTTCGCTATACGGAGCAGATCCTAGTTTTTCCGCAATTCGTTCGTCGCCGGAAGTTCGCATATTTTTAATTGCACTGAGCCCTGTAAGGATATTTCAGGCCGCCATAATGTGGGTGTAGAAGTTCGGAGAGCCAATATTTGAATTTGAAATTGTTTCCTCCAGGTCCATCCCGCTTAAAATGGATTCCAATTCTAGGAAGTTTCTGTGAAGTAAAGACGGCAAGCGTGATTAAATATGGGTTGAGGTTTGAACAACAGATCATCAGCATCATGGCACACGGGTAGTAACCCATAAGTGATTCGTTCTTTCTTCTAACTCAAGTCTGAGTCCGAAGAAGCTCAGCACAGTGCACAGGCTCTGTAGCACCAGCGAGGATCCTGAAATACTTTGAGTGGATTTTCAACTCCAAATGATGTCCGGGCAGCGCCGTTAGGCTACTCTTTTTGATTTCCAACCGCCAAGGGATTTATTACATGCCCAACAATACACACAGGCGTCTGATCTCACTACCCAGGGACCAAGGAGAATTACTAAAAGTCCAAGTCCACATTAAAAAAAAAAATTCAAGTTGTTACCGGGGATTGAACCCGGAACCTTTAGAACTCGAGGCAGACACCATGCCTCAAGACCAGGCAGCCCCCTGCATGACTAAATAGTAATAGTATAACATAAGAGCATCTATTTATTTTCATTTGAATCTTCTTCAGCTTTCCAAAAAGATATAAAACCAAACAAAAAGTATATGACTAAGTATATTTATGTTGAAAAGAAATAAAATATTGTTACAGTTAAAAAAATCTAATTTGAAACAAAAAACCTGCTTAATTAAACACCTCAGTTATAACCATTTTAAAATATTAATATGGGTACTATGATATGTGCAAAGCAGAAAATTTGATGTTTGTTCTACTACCTGTCCATTCTCAGTTCATGATTTGTATAACTTTTCAAAATGTTAGCTTCTAACATGTTATTGTTTTTCTTACAGTAGGTTGGTTATCTGCTGCTGTAAATAATAACAAGAGTAACAGAGATTTGGTTACCAGGCAAGCCAACAATGGAGCTGGAGTGTGAGCGCCAGGTTTCAGTGCATACCTTGTGATTGTGAGCACAGCATGAGTAGTTCAGTGATCACCCGTGAAGTGCAGATTCCTGGGATTGGCCCAGAAGATGCCACATGGACAGCTGCTGAAGATGCTGCCCTAGAGGATGTCCTTGAGCCCTTGGAGGCTGTCAGGGTCCATCAACACCTCGATGTTGTAGAAGGTTGGTGGAGTTCTTGAGTAATAAAACATATATATGCTTACAAAATATTTATTCATTGTTTCACCATCGAGACGTAAGGTGGAGGTTTGTATCAGATGCAACATTAGACTAGAAAAATCTAGAAGTCACAGCAGACTGAGGTAACATAAATCAACATAGCTGATTGCACAATGACTTTGAATTATGTAAAATTGGCAGGGTGGGTATGGGGGGGGGGGGGGGGGGGGGGGAGGGCTGCAGTCAACCTTGTGACAGGGAAAAATATAAACAAATACATTAACTAATTTGTTAAAAAAAGGTTTAAATAAAGTTATGTTGAATATTCATCCCACTAGTACTAAAAACCTAGAACTATAAATGAAAGTTTTATAACAAGGGGCGGCTGGTTTCATAACCTGGGCATTCCCTGTTTATTTTTCAAACACGTTTTTACTCATTTCTTTCATAATATATTCCTTCATGTTCATATTTTCCTCCCATTGCATATTTCTTGGTTTCATGTTCACCTTGGTTGTTCAGAAGTTCTGTTGTCTTGTCCATTGAGTTTTCCAGACACAGTTTGGGTTGTATTTAGTTCTCCTGTGATAAAGACTTAGGTCGAGCATTTAATTGTATGTTTGTGTGTCTTTTCCATACCCCCCACTTTCTAGTCACATTTTATGAGGTATTTAGCAACTTAGAATTTTGTATGATCGTGTCACGACGATGTCAAGTTTGAATCCAGTGATTTTTCATTTGTTTATCAGTTCTCTTTTATGCTCGGCATGAGTTCGTTGAGGCTGTTTGTGGGGGGAAGGGAGAAGAAGAAGACTAAAGATATATACGTGCACATGCTTGCTATTATTGTCTTAGTGGCTTCATAGCTTACCCAGTTAGTGATGATGTTGTATCATTGATATCTTGTTCAACCATACAGAACCATAGATTGTGTCTCTATGGTTGCCGACCTCCTACTGAGAGGACATGTTTTTTCCTAGCTCTTACTATTTGGATTTTTAAATTCTAATTGTGCCTGTGAACTAGCGATGTTTTTACTATCATTGTAATCGTTATTCCTTTAGACGTGCAGTGAAATATTGTTTCACGCAATTATATGTCATGATTGCATGCAAATGTGGTTTTTGTAGCATTCTCAAACATATTTTGAGCGGAAATATGCCGATGATACAGACACATGAACCACGGATGCGAAGGTCAGTGGGCGTTTTGTCCGCGTCACTGAGATTTATCACCACCCAGAACACTGGCTAACCGAGAAAAGTCCCCCAAGTGTCACACTATACAAACGAAACATGTGTGACTACGATAGGACTGAGCTTTTTCAAAAGATAGTAATGCTAGGGAAAAGAAGAGAAGAGAAAACGCTAGCAGCTGGACTCACTCACCGAACTATAGGCATCCGGACCATCCCATTCTCTAATGATATTACGTAGAACAGTATACGCGCAGTATTTCCAATGGTTATTAAAGGCGACTTGCCCGCTACTATCTGTGTGAGACAGAAAGAGGACAATACATCTTACACCAGTAAAACGTGGAATATGAAACTGTTTTAACACCAGGCCATCAACCGTTCCCTCGGACACCTAGACCGTTTAATGGAGTAACATTTGTTCTGACGCAGGCGGGTTCACGAATGGAAGAAGAAATAATTCTCTTCTTGTAAATATTTCACCTTTCTTCGCGATGACATCTCATCAGGCTACACAAGATACACCTGAGAACACGACATTCTCTATACACCCAATTTACCTGCAGGATTCAAGTTCACACGGCTCTACCCTGCTACAACAGTTCCATCTGTGACCCCGTGGCCACCTAGAAATGAACGTAGAGACACAGCACTTGATTTTCTGTTCTCAGGCATTGATCGATGCACGCAAAAACTTTATGGTTGACAACAAGCACGTTTGGATATCGAAACAGAAGACTCAATGAACGCTATACATTTGCTGTAATTAGCTACGCGGTGATCCCCCCCCCCCCTCTCTCTCTCTGTCTGTCTATGCCGATTTATGTATGTATTGGCTGAGCTGTTAATGATTATTGTTAGTAGTCATCGCTAGTGTATTACTATTGTTAGAACCTAGAAAATATGAATGCAACCCCTGGTGGCTTGCAGATTACATTTTTCAAGTAATGTTATCCTACCACAAAGTATGCATCTCTTTCTGAAACCGTCCCTTGGGTGCAACTTTCTATGGCAGTCCTTTATTACAGCCAACTTTCTGTCACAGCAAGGACTGTGTCTGATCTGACTGAGCCATTTGAATTTACTGTCCCCTTCTTGGAGCCAGTCATGCCGACCTTGTGTGCATAGGGAATTCCCTGTGTCAGTGTCTTACATATGTGTGTGGTCATTCTGCAGGATTCTTCCCTTGTCTCACTCTCCCGATATATATTTATATACTTATATAAATATGTAGTCATGTGTGCTGCACCAGCAAGCAAGCGGGTGGCAGGTAATGAGTGCATGTATGTATGTGTGTGTGTGTGTGTTTTTTTAAACTACTGCGCGTTTGAGTATGGGTGCTGAATTTTACTAATACACTGAGATAGTATTTTGGCTACGGGACACCAGTAGCACACATATATCTTCGTGTAGGGAGTCGGCAATCCGAAACCCAAGTTTAAGGTGTCTCCTTCGTGCCAAAGAACTGCATGGCTGTTGGGTGAACAGTCGTTAACGAAGGCAGTCAGGTCGTTGTTGGGGCGACGCTTGCTGGTGGATGTAATGTCCTAAATCCCTTCCCCAGCTAATAGTAGGGTACTGCTGGGGTGACAGTTTATTAACCCTCACATAATGCTTCAGGTCCAAATGAACACTAGGCACTGCCACTGTTTTGCTTCTGCCAGACTGTTGTCGTTGCTTTTTTGCTCAATTTGTAGACTGCAAGTATATAGTTTCGTTACCCAGCTTTTGAGCTGAGTGCATGGCGTGACACTGTGAGCTGCGGATTTCATTTGGAATGTTTTTCGACTGACCAACGTGGTGGTGTGATTTGAAGATTCAGAAAATGGCGCGATGCCGGATGTCGCAATATTGGTGGGGCCATTATTTGATTAAAAATAAATGCGTGTGTAACTGCTGATCTTTTGGTGACTTCTGCTACCATCAATGATGAACTGCATTTCTAACGTCAGACTGTTTGGGTTAGCACTTCGGATGGCTACCATATGCTTTTAATGCGAGTGTATGCTAGATTGGCTGACACAGCAGTTTGTCTTTCCACAAGGGACTGTGATAAACATTCTGTGTGTATTTCGTTGGCACAGGAGCGGAGCAAGATGGGGTGACCCGTTTGCTATGAAGCTGAAATTAAAATTACCAGATTACTAATATTCTTGGGTTTTTTTTGCTTCTCGTTAAAAAAAGAAAGTTTATTGCTGAAGTTACTGGCTCAGAACCTGCTGACAGCATTTCTCCTCCTATCAAGTGTCAATTAGCCAGTGGTCTGTGTTGAAACCTTCCCAAGTGTCAATCTGTGTTGAGATGTTATTATCTGTGTTGAGATGTTATTATCTGTGTTGAGATGTTATTGTGTTGAGATGTTATTGTGTTGAGATGTTATTATGTGTGTTGAGATGTTATTATCTGTGTTGAGATGTTATTATGTGTGTTGAGATGTTATTATCTATGTTTAAATGTTATTATCTGTGTTGAGATGTTATTATGTGTGTTGAGATGTTATTATGTGTGTTGAGATGTTATTATCTGTGTTGAGATGTTATTATGTGTGTTGAGATGTTATTATCTGTGTTGAGATGTTATTATCTGTGTTGAAATGTTATTATCTGTGTTGAGATGTTATTATGTGTGTTAAGATATTATTATCTGTGTTGAGATATTATTATGTGTGTTGAGATGTTATTATCTGTGTTGAGATGTTATTATATGTGTTGAAATGTTATTATCTGTGTTGAGATGTTTTTTCTGTGTTGAGATGTTATTATGTGTGTTGAGATGTTATTATCTGTGTTGAGATGTTATTATCTGTGTTGAGATGTTATTATCTGTGTTGAGATGTTATTATGTGTGTTGAGATGTTATTATCTGTGTTGAGATGTTATTATGTGTGTTGAGATGTTATTATGTGTGTTAAGATGTTATTATGTGTGTTGAGATGTTATTATGTGTGTTAAGATGTTATTATCTGTGTTGAGATGTTATTATCTGTGTTGAGATGTTATTATCTGTGTTGAGATGTTATTATCTGTGTTGAGATGTTATTATCTGTGTTGAGATGTTATTATCTGTGTTGAGATGTTATTATCTGTGTTGAGATGTTATTATTTGTGTTGAAATGTTATTATGTGTGTTGAGATGTTATTATTTGTGTTGAAATGTTATTATGTGTGTTGAGATGTTATTATGTGTGTTGAGATGTTATTATCTGTGTTGAGATGTTATTATCTGTGTTGAGATGTTGTTATCTGTGTTGAGATGTTATTATGTGTGTTGAGATGTTATTATCTGTGTTGAGATGTTATTATCTGTGTTGAGATGTTATTATGTGTGTTGAGATGTTATTATCTGTGTTGAGATGTTATTATCTGTGTTGAAATGTTATTATGTGTGTTGAGATGTTATTATGTGTGTTGAGATGTTATTATGTGTGTTGAGATGTTATTATGTGTGTTGAGATGTTATTATGTGTGTTGAGATGTTATTATGTGTGTTAAGATGTTATTATGTGTGTTAAGATGTTATTATCTGTGTTAAGATGTTATTATCTGTGTTGAAATGTTATTATCTGTGTTGAGATGTTATTATGTGTGTTGAGATGTTATTATGTGTGTTAAGATGTTATTATCTGTGTTAAGATGTTATTATCTGTGTTGAGATGTTATTATCTGTGTTGAGATGTTATTATATGTGTTGAAATGTTATTATCTGTGTTGAGATGTTTTTTCTGTGTTGAGATGTTATTATCTGTGTTGAGATGTTATTATCTGTGTTGAGATGTTATGTTATTATCTATATTGACATTTTTATTAACAGCTATTTTTTAACTTAACAAATGTTTAGTCTGTCTGGGCTGGGAACGGAACAACCGCTATAGCGTGTACAACACAACTGGAGAGCAGATCTTGTACGTGTATGAGGGTAAGTTCACAGACATAACCGCTTGTGATTACCAGTAGTTTAACTAAAGTCAGTGATAGCCTGGATCCAGAAGAAGCAGGAAAGCCAATGTCACAGCTTATCTTCATGTTACACAGCTCCCCACATTCACACAGCTAGGCTCACTCACCTATGCTCCCCACATTCACACAGCTTGGCTCACTCACCTTTGCTCCCCACATTCACACAGCTTGGCTCACTCACCTTTGCTCCCCACATTCACACAGCTTGGCTCACTCACCTTTGCTCCCCACATTCACACAGCTTGGCTCACTCATCTTTGCTCCCCACATTCACACAGCTTGGCTCACTCACCTATGCTCCCCACATGCACATACTTTGGCTTACTCACACAATTCCCACAGCTTGGCTCACTCATCTACGCTTCCCACATTTACACAGTGTGGCTTACTCAGATACTCTCTCCACATTCACACAACTTGGCTTACTCACATACTCTTCCCACTTTCACACATATTGGCTCACTTGCAACTCTACTCAAATTCACACAGCTACTCAGTGCTATGCTCGTCAGTGTTATGGCTCATTGCGAGAGTTTACCCTCATTGTGACAGACAACGATGACAACCGCCTGCTGTACCTGCAGCGACCACTACGTTGCTCGTCTCGATGTTTCTACTCCTGCTGCTGCCTTCAGGAGATGAGTATCCACACACCCCCTGATTCTTTGCTTGCACTTGTTAAAGAAAGGTATGTTGATCTTCACTTGTTAAAGAAAGGTATGTTGATCTTCACTTGTTAAAGAAAGGTATGTTGATCTTCAACAGTCAGTATAAACCTTCTAAAGTTTGATTTGTGTCATGTTTCATGTTTTGCAAACTGTCAAGTGATTTTGTTACAGTGTTTCTGATTGACTAGTTCTGGTTGACTAGTTCTGGTTGTCTAGTTCTGATTGACTAGTTCTGATTGACTAGTTCTGATTGACTAGTTCTGATTGACTAGTTCTGATTAACTAGTTCTGGTTGACTAGTTCTGGTTGACTAGTTCTGGTTGACTAGTTCTGATTGACTAGTTCTGATTGACTAGTTCTGGTTGACTAGTTCTGGTTGACTAGTTCTGATTGACTAGTTCTGATTGACTAGTTCTGATTGACTAGTTCTGGTTGACTAGTTCTGATTGACTAGTTCTGGTTGTCTAGTTCTGATTGACTAGTTCTGATTGACTAGTTCTGGTTGACTAGTTCTGGTTGTCTAGTTCTGGTTGACTAGTTCTGATTGACTAGTTCTGATTGACTAGTTCTGGTTGTCTAGTTCTGATTGACTAGTTCTGATTGACTAGTTCTGGTTGTCTAGTTCTGGTTGACTAGTTCTGATTGACTAGTTCTGATTGACTAGTTCTGGTTGACTAGTTCTGATTGACTAGTTCTGGTTGACTAGTTCTGATTGACTAGTTCTGATTGACTAGTTCTGATTGACTAGTTCTGGTTGACTAGTTCTGGTTGACTAGTTCTGGTTGTCTAGTTCTGATTGACTAGTTCTGGTTGACTAGTTCTGATTGACTAGTTCTGGTTGTCTAGTTCTGATTGACTAGTTCTGATTGACTAGTTCTGATTGACTAGTTCTGGTTGTCTAGTTCTGGTTGTCTAGTTCTGATTGTCTAGTTCTGATTGACTAGTTCTGATTGACTAGTTCTGATTGACTAGTTCTGGTTGTCTAGTTCTGATTGTCTAGTTCTGATTGACTAGTTCTGATTGACTAGTTCTGGTTGTCTAGTTCTGATTGACTAGTTCTGGTTGTCTAGTTCTGATTGACTAGTTCTGGTTGTCTAGTTCTGATTGTCTAGTTCTGATTGACTAGTTCTGTTTGTCTAGTTCTGATTGACTAGTTCTGGTTGTCTAGTTCTGATTGACTAGTTCTGGTTGACTAGTTCTGATTGACTAGTTCTGATTGACTAGTTCTGATTGACTAGTTCTGATTGACTAGTTCTGGTTGTCGAGGATGAGATGGACATGTTGGAGACAGAGGAAGTGATGCCAGCTTGTGGATGCCATTCGTCAGCACTAGATGGTAGCTGATCAGCAAGATTTGAAAATTTCTCCCACCATCAGAGGCAACCTGTGGCGAGAGTTTCCGTTGACAGTGACAGTAAAACTCATACGGCATAAGCATCTGATAGTGATCTGTTTCAGTTGGTCAGTCTCTGATTCATTCATCCCTTCTCTCCGACATACATGCATCAGAGGTGCACACGAGTAGCCTGTCTGTGCAAGAAGCAAAGCTCTAGTTTATTTTACTGTCTGGGAAGACTCACTTCGGTCTTTTTATTGTAATGTGTGTGCAGTGTTACTTATGTGACGTACAGAGTACGTGTTATGTATGTGCAGTGTTACTTATGTGTCGTACAGAGTACGTGTTATGTGTGTGCAGTGTTACTTATGTGACGTACAGAGTACGTGTTATGTATGTGCAGTGTTACTTATGTGTCGTACAGAGTACGTGTTATGTGTGTGCAGCGTTACTTATGTGACGTACAGAGTACGTGTTATGTATGTGCAGTGTTACTTATGTGTCGTACAGAGTACGTGTTATGTGTGTGCAGTGTTACTTATGTGACGTACAGAGTATGTGTTATGTATGTGCAGTGTTACTTATGTGACATACAGAGTACGTGTTATGTGTGTGCAGTGTTACTTATGTGACGTACAGAGTATGTGTTATGTATTTGCACTGTTACTTATGTGACGTACAGAGTATCTGTTATGTATTTGCACTGTTACTTATGTGACGTACAGAGTATCTGTTATGTATGTGCAGTGTTACTTATGTGACATACAGAGTACGTGTTATGTGTGTGCAGTGTTACTTATGTGACGTACAGAGTATGTGTTATGTATGTGCAGTGTTACTTATGTGACGTACAGAGTATCTGTTATGTATGTGCAGTGTTACTTATGTGACGTACAGAGTATCTGTTATGTATTTGCACTGTTACTTATGTGACGTACAGAGTATCTGTTATGTATGTGCAGTGTTACTTATGTGACATACAGAGTACGTGTTATGTGTGTGCAGTGTTACTTATGTGACGTACAGAGTATGTGTTATGTATGTGCAGTGTTACTTATGTGACGTACAGAGTATGTGTTATGTATGTGCAGTGTTACTTATGTGACTTACAGAGTACGTGTTATGTGTGTGCAGTGTTACTTATGTGACGTACAGAGTATCTGTGATGTATGTGCAGTGTTACTTATGTGACGTACAGAGTATCTGTTATGTATGTGCAGTGTTACTTATGTGACTTGCAGAGAACGTGTTATGTGTGTGCAGTGTTACTTATGTGACGTACAGAGTATCTGTTATGTATGTGCAGTGTTACTTATGTGACTTGCAGAGAACGTGTTATGTGTGTGCAGTGTTACTTATGTGACGTACAGTGTGTGTTATGTAAGTCTAAGTGACTTGCAGTGCTTTTGTGGGTATGTAATAGATTTGGCTGATAAATAAGTGTCTACGAGTGATGCTAAATTGTAATAGAAATGAGTTGTGAATGTATGCTAGATGTCACTTCATTGATGTAATTAAAGGATGTCTTCTCTCCCCAGATGGTCATGTTGTATACCAGAGTATGAACTAGTAACACCTGAAGGGAGCGCCTTGTTCCAGATGGAGGGTAGCTGTTTCCACTGTCGATGCTGTTGCAGTATCAGCTTTGTGGTATAATCACATTCTAATGTTGACTTGCTCCAGGGAATAATTCCCTTTTGCTTTGAACACATATAGTATTGTATGCCACCAGTACAGCGTAGATGCTGCTAATTTCATCATCCCTGCACTCTGCACACATCATGGGTGGTTCAGCTTATTGCTGATTGAATCCTTCAGCTTCCGATGACTGACCTGACCAGACTGACGTTGCCTGATGAGCCTCCTGACACATCTGCTGGGCTTCTCTGTCCTATCCACACGGATCTTTGATCTGAGCACTTGCTTGGTCATGTGTGGGGTGGGGGGGGGTGTTGATTCATTCAGTTACAGATCTATCTTAAGGCATTTACGATGTTGACTCCATCTATTGCGGGTTGGGGTAGTGTCACTCTGTCGTTCCCTACAACACCTGTATGTATAGAATATATGCATAGCATAAAGTATTCTGTGACATATAAATACTCACCTGGCAACTGCTGCTTTTAGAGCCCTAGTATGGGCAGCAGAGCAAACAGCCACACATGCAGTATTTATATCAGACTCCATGAACATACTTCAGAAGATAGCAGCAGGTAGTACGCGCTCTGAATTGGTAGATAGCATTCACTGATCGCACTTAACCTCCCTCACCTGGATCTACACACCTAGTCATGCTGATATAAAGAGTAATAAGCCACCGGACCAGCTGGCAAGCAAAACACCAACGCATGTGGGAAGAAGCACGGTCAGAGCAGATATAGAACGGAATGGCCTAAAGGATAATAACGAATCTCTGAAACTAACAGACTTTTCTGGCATGAGATTAAAGCATGGTGAAGCATGTCTCTACTGCCTTCCAGACCGAGATAGGAGACATAACCAACCTACCTTTCACGGGAATAATATTAGAAGAAGTACATTGGAGGGGCTGCTGCAACAGAGGACTGACCACATGTGGGAATGCCTAGTGTCCAGTGATGTCAATTGTGATAACATAACAGGTGACATAAAAATATTTGCACATACCAGTAAGTTAACCATGTGTGTGGATTTCTCCCCTTCAAGAAACTGGTGGACACTTTCCATTTCTGGGGACAGATTTTATCAAATGTGCTTTCTAAAGTTTGCGTTCTTCCCCCCCCCCCCCCCCCCTCCTCCCCCTCCCCGCACTAACAAGATTCTGCAAAATAGCAGTCCATGCGAGAACACAGAACAATTTGAGAGAAATGACAGCAATCAGAAAATAACACAGCCACTCGTCGCCATCTTCAAAAGGAAAGTCCAATGACATATAGTTTGGGAGTACAATACATTGTTGTTAATGTATCAGGTCTTGGTCAGATATGACTGAGCTACCATATACGTAGTTTGCTGTTAATGCTGAATGTTGAATAAAAAATCAACATCACAGCACCCAGGACACTCTCATAAGTGCTCTGTCCCCATCTTCAGCAGCAAGCGAAGAGTTCCAATCCTGTTGGCGCCAGTAACTGTCTGATTGTACATCTGCCTCATCCTTTCCCCTAGTGTCGAGCATCAGCCAGATCCCATTTTCTTCAGACTGTAATTATATATCTGTGCCTTCACACTGTTAACTATATGTGTCATACCTCAGTTTGGGAGTTTCTGTGGCGGTGCGGCTAGACCCTCACCGCGGATCGGAAGGTTGTGGGTTCGCTTCCTGGTGGAGCCGGACTTTTTTTCAGAAATGACCTTGGCTCCCAGGTCGACCCAGCCTTGAGTGGGTACCGGGTGCAGTCCCGGGAAGTAAAGGCGGCCGGCATGATGCTGACCACATCACCCATCTTGTGCCGATTGGTCTATAGAATATAGGTCTAGCCCTATATGCCCTATATGCCTTTAGGCGTGGGAAAGTTTTCTTTACTCTTTTTAAATACCTCAGTTTACCAGCAGGTGGTGCAGAGCCAGCCAGTCTATCTGCCTGCTCACTTCCCAACACACCAGCATCACCTGGAGACAAATATCAAAGGATGCTAACTTCTTCTTCTTCTTCTTGTTCACCGGCTGTAAACTCCGGCGGAAAGTTCTGGTTGTTCTTCCACTTCTGGACTGCAGTCCTGTTCCAGAACCTGAGTGTTGCGTGTGCATCCGTTTGACATATCTGTATGCAGACTGTTGGTGCCTTGCCTCTCAGGCAGATGCACTCCGACTTCGAAGGAAGCTCCCAATTAGTCGACTCTTACGACATGCTTTTGGATAGGCAGTGGGTCTATTCTTGTTTTTCCCATAGTAGGGCCACGGAACCCACACGGGGAGGATGCTAACTAAACGGGACAGCTGAATTGATGCTTGCCACTCTGCACTTAGCATGCCCCTTTTCACCTTTCTCAACATGCTTAGTGAGTCAGTGACAATCACGGCATGTTTGTACAGCTGATTCTCAAGCCAGCGGAAGACAGCAGTGACTGCCTCCACCTCCATTCTCAAACTAGACATTGTGATATCATATGCAAGGCTTTGCTGTTAACGCTGATTGTTGAGTGGAGTATGCCAAACCTGACATCGCACATTATGCCAACGGCTTCAGGCATTGGGGAGGATACTAGCCTTATCCAAGCAAGAGGAAATGAAACCTGAAAACCTGTTATGGCAGGGCAAACCAGGCCCCTAGCTTTGACTGGCAGCTGGTCTAGGAGGGAAACTCTGACAGGTGGACAGACACTAGCACAATATAACACAATCACAGGGAAAGGTGCCAGCACCTCTTTTATTTTGGGAGTTGACTCTTTGTTGGCTACTGAAAAAGGGAACAGAGCAAATGTTGGAATGTTCAAGTGCAGGGTAATCAATTCTTGATTCATTCATTTATTTAAATTGTTGGAGCGTAATGTGTAGTTTCAAATCAGGCATCCAGTTGTTGTTTCAATTTTATGATTGCAGGTAAGAAATGATTCTGGGGTTGAAGTTGCTACAATCAGAAAAGAATGGGGAGGCTGTAAAGAGTTGATAGGAGCTTGCAACGATTTTACCATCAAATGTAAGGGCTTCTTCCTCCTCCTGTATTCTTGTCTTTCTTCCTCCACCTGTAGTCTTGTCTTTCTTCCTCCACCTGTAGCCTTGTCTTTCTTCCTCCACCTGTAGCCTTGTCTTTCTTCCTCCTCCTGTAGCCTTGTCTTTCTTCCTCCACCTGTAGCCTTGTCTTTCTTCCTCCACCTGTAGCCTTGTCTTTCTTCCTCCACCTGTAGCCTTGTCTTTCTTCCTCCACCTGTAGCTTTGTCTTTCTTTCTCCTCCTGTAGCCTTGTCTTTCTTCCTCCTCCTTTGTGTGTTTTCTGCTTTGTTTTGACACTGGGATATTTCTGCAGCCATTGTTCCCCTGTTGTGTGTCAGGGCAGTCAAAATTATAACAAATAACTGGGCTCATTGTCTTTGTTTAAAGCCAACCTGGCATGTCCTGTGGTATAATGGTTGACCACATGCCTGGCCAAGACAAGTTCAGTCTCTAGATGAGCAGGATTATTTTGACCGTTCAGTGTGGCTCTAATTTAGACCCAAGCCTCATGAAAACAGGCACCTGACAATGTTCAGATGTCTCTATGAATTTTCTGGACAGGAAAGGTAATGAGGAAGGAAACTCTTCACAACTGCTTTTAAGGTCATGATCTAGAATATGTGAAGATAATCACACTTTATACTGTGAGTAAGCAGTAACTGCTATAGACTTACCTTATATATCCTTTACAGGACGTTGCAGAACCAACCCCAGCACTTTTATGCTGTTGTGGTGTTTTTTCTGGGCAAATTTACGTCCAGTAGTATGCCATTGCTTTCTGGATGGACCTTGTGTATATAAAACTAAAATTAAATAGCTTGGCAGAAACTCAAGGACCAGGATTTTTTGGGGGGACTCGTGAAAAGGAGGACACTATAAATTCCGACCATTCCTTCACCAAAAGGGTCTCACTGACTCTGCTACTTGGGTCTCACTGACTCTGCTACATGGTTCTCACTGACTCTGCTACATGGTTCTCACTGACTCTGCTACATGGGTCTCACTGACTCTGTTACATGGTTCTCACTGACTCTGTTACATGGTTCTCACTGACTCTGCTACATGGGTCTCACTGACTCTGCTACTTGGGTCTCACTGACTCTGCTACTTGGGTCTCACTGACTCTGCTACTTGGGTCTCACTGACTCTGCTACATGGTTCTCACTGACTCTGTTACATGGTTCTCACTGACTCTGCTACATGGGTCTCACTGACTCTGCTACTTGGGTCTCACTGACTCTGCTACTTGGGTCTCACTGACTCTGCTACTTGGGTCTCACTTAATTTATTTAGGTCTCACTGACTCTGCTACTTGGGTCTCACTGACTCTGCTACATGGTTCTCACTGACTCTGCTACTTCGGTCTCACTGACTCTGCTACTTGGGTCTCACTGACTCTGCTACTTGGGTCTCACTGACTCTGCTACATGGGTCTCACTGACTCTGCTACTTGGGTCTCACTGACTCTGCTACATGGTTCTCACTGACTCTGCTACATGGGTCTCACTGACTCTGCTACATGGTTCTCACTGACTCTGCTACATGGGTCTCACTGACTCTGCTACATGGTTCTCACTGACTCTGCTACATGGGTCTCACTGACTCTGCTACATGGTTCTCACTGACTCTGTTACATGGTTCTCACTGACTCTGCTACATGGGTCTCACTGACTCTGCTACTTGGGTCTCACTGACTCTGCTACTTGGGTCTCACTGACTCTGCTACTTGGGTCTCACTTAATTTATTTAGGTCTCACTGACTCTGCTACTTGGGTCTCACTGACTCTGCTACATGGTTCTCACTGACTCTGCTACTTCGGTCTCACTGACTCTGCTACTTGGGTCTCACTGACTCTGCTACTTGGGTCTCACTTAATTTACTTAGGTCTCACTGACTCTGCTACTTGGGTGTCACTGACTCTGCTATTTGGGTCTCACTGACTCTGCTACTTGGGTCTCACTGACTTTGCTACTTGGGTCTCACTGACTCTGCTACTTCGGTCTCACTAACTCTGCGACTTACCAGTGTCAGACACCAGAGCAAACTTCAGACCGTATCTTAATAAAACTATCAGGATTTTGCCAGACAGAGGGGAAATGTAGTAGCCGTGCTTCAAGTCAAACAGGTGAAGTCCTCAGGCTCAGCATCCTGTGTGCGGTTATGTGATGTAACATCAAGTGTGTAAACCATTCTTGACCTAACATGATGTGTGTAACATGTGAACAGTCACTTCTGTAACCAGCTAATGTCTTCACTCCTCTCTCCACTAGATCTCAATGGCTTGTCCAGCAATGACAAGGTCTCCATATTTGCTGCAGCATTTCTGCTGGACTTCAACTACTTTGAGCGACATGGAAAGTGTTTTTGATGATGAGTTTGGAAAAAAACTTGATTGGTACTGCCTGATCGTGTAATCTGCACATGTCTGCTTGTGTAATCTGAACAAGCCTGATTGTGTAATCTGAACAGGTCTGATTGTGTAATCTGAACAGGACTGATTGTGTAATCTAAATATGTCTGATTGTGTAATCTGAACATGCATGATTGTGTAATCTGAACATGTTTGATTGTGTGATAACTGTCTCCTTATGATGTTTGTGATAAGTTGTCTTCGAGCCCTAAACTCTTTCAAAACATGTTGGTTGCTTTTTTTTTTTTGTGTGACTCTCCTGATAATTCTTAGGATTTGTCTGTGAAATCACATTTCTGAGGCCTCAAGAAATTCTGTGACTTGTTTATTAATTGTCCAGGATTCAGAGCTGTATGTTCAAAGTGGCTCTGTATAACATGTGATAATTCTTTCCTAATGATATAGATTTATTGCATAACATGTTCTTCATTTAAAAAAAAAAGGAGTATTGGCCCATCCTATTCTGCTTATTATCTCTGTGATACATCTTCCATTGGCTGTTATCCATGCGCCTAGATGCTTAGGTGTCTGTACTTGTCCTGAAATACTTGTCACTTACAGTCAGTACACACAGTCAACGGTTGCCTTAGTACTGCCTGCCTCACAGAAGTCAGTACACAGAGTCAATGGTTGCCTTAGTACTGCCTGCCTCACAGAAGTCAGTACACAGAGTCAATGGTTGCCTTAGTACTGCCTGCCTCACAGAAGTCAGTACACAGAGTCAGTGGTTGCCTTAGTACTGCCTGCCTCACAGGAGTCAGTACACAGAGTCAGTGGTTGCCTTAGTACTGCCTGCCTCACAGGATAGAGGATCAGATGAGTATCAGTATTGAAAGGCCCCCCCCCCCCCCCATCCCCCAATATTTGTTGAAATCCGATGCAAGGCATGGGTTTTAATGACACAGTGCAGTGTAACTCAGATGATGGTGGCCTAATGGAACGGTACTTGCTGCTGAAAAGGGGTGCAAGGGGCTTATGAGAATGTCCCAGATACTGTGATATCCATTCTAAAGTCAAGCCAGCTCAGCTGAGACTGTATTTTGGCTTCACAACAATATCGTTCCTGCGTAATTATTTGTCCTGGATCAGAAGATTTAATTAAGTACTTCTTCAGCTGTGTATCCATTGGTGCTAACATGTTGGTTTTGAATGTGTTTGGCCATTGTAAAATATTTAGTTTAAGCATTGATGTATCCAATAGTAATGTTCCAGCTCGGGTCTTTATATGAGTGAATTGGAATATGTCTGAATGAAATCAAAGATACAAAACATGTTTAATGTAAGGTTAAAGTGTAACCTTTTATCATTCTTTGTTCACTCCTTGATGCTGTATAGTAATGTATTCCTGTTTCTTATTTATTTATTTTAATGTTGTTAAAAAACTCATAAAAAGAAATTCCAGTGACATGCGTAAGCATAGTTTCCAGAAACCGAAACACTTTGTCCATAGTTAATGTTGTGCAGTGCTCTGGAAAGAAAATCAGTGTAAACACATTCATGGAAGAAGATTAATGTATTTATAGAAGAAAATTTGTGTAAACACATTCATGGGAGAAGATTAATGTATTTATAGAAGAAAATTTGTGTAAACACATTCATGGGAGAAGATAAATGTATTTATAGAAGAAAATTTGTGTAAACACATTCATGGGAGAAGATTAATGTATTTATAGAAGAAAATTTGTGTAAACACATTCATGGGAGAAGATTAATGTATTTATAGAAGAAAATTTGTGTAAACACATTCATGGGAGAAGATAAATGTATTTATAGAAGAAAATTTGTGTAAACACATTCATGGAAGAAGATCAGTGTATTTATAGAAGAAAATTAGTGTAAACACATTTGTGGGGGTGTAAACACATTGTTCCTGGAAGAAAATCAATGTAAGACTTTGTTCATGAAATAAAAACAGTGTGAGACGTTTGTGAAAAAAATCAATGTACCGTATTGTTCATGGAAGATAATCAATGTAAAACATTGTTCATGGAAGATAATCAATGTAAAACATTGTTCATGGAAGATAATCAATGGAAGATAATCAATGTAAAACATTGTTAATGAAAGATAATCAATGTAAAACCTTGTTCATGGAAGATAATCAATGTAAAACATTGTTTATGGAAGATAATCAATGTGAAACATTGTTTATGGAAGATAATCAATGTAAAACATTGTTCATGGAAGATAATCAATGTAAGTCTTTGTTTATGGAAGTAAATTTTAGGGTAGACAAATATTATTTAAAAAACACATTATTGTATCTCTTCTAAATACTTTGAAAGATGAAATTTAATTTTATGTCTACCTCCAATGAATGAATTTTAGTTCTTTTTATCAAGTGTTTGATCTGTTGTCACACATTTCTGGAGCTGTTTATGCCTTGTAGAATGTCTGCATCAGGCCACATTCCAGTTGTTCAGTTAGTGATTTTCTTTTAAGTTCATATTTTCAGCAAGTAGTTACAGCTGTGGCCAAACATTTAACACTGCCCAGTAATAATTGATGTTTCCATACAACCACAGACAATTGCCTCGGTTGCTATGTTAGGGTACACTGCTTGTGTGGATTCTGGGCACCATTTTTGGTGGTGGGGACAAACAAGAATTGATCCCATGCCTCTTAACAAGAGGGTGGTCAAAGGCAGCTAATCAGGGATTTGCTGACAGGGGAGAAGAAGGGCTCTCTAAATGCAGTCGTTGTAGCTGTGACTGTGTCATATTATAGATTTTGAAAACATAGGCTGTTACTGTTTTAGGTGTCCTTGAGATTTTATTGATTTTTACCAAAGCATTTGATTTGGTTAGTTGTAAAAGTCGGTTCAACACATTGAAGAAGATAGGGTGTCCACCTACCCTACTGAACATTACTGAGTCGTTAAACACAGGTATGAAAGGTACTATTAATTTGACCACGAAATATCGGATTAGTTTGTAATCAAGAATGGAATAAAGCAGGGATGTGTACTTGCTCCTGCCCCCTTTGGAATATACTTCTCACTTCTTTTGGAACTTGCCTTTTGAGATCAAGAGGGTGGGTATATTCATTCATTCTCAATCTGATGAAAGGCTTTACAGTGCTTAAATGCTTAAAGCAAAAATCAGGATAAGAAAGGTACTTATCAGAGAGCTGCTGTCTGCAAATGATGCAGCAATAACCACCCACTCAGAGGAGGAGCTTCAATGTTTACTGTCTGCATTTGCTGATGCATGTTATGAATTCGAACTAACAATCAGCAAAAAGAAAAATATTCTGGTGCAAGGTGCTAAAGATAGGCCTGAAATTTGACAGTGAAGACCTGGAGACAGTTGACCATTGTACATATCTGGGGTCTGCAGTGAATAACAAACTATCGCTGACCAAGAAATCAGGACAGGAAAGCCAGTAACAACAACGAGCACATCAACAAAAACTTTCTTTGTCTTTTTCTGTGTTAATCACACACAAAAAGAGATCTACGATATAAATAAGTGGGACATGAATGAAATAGTCACTGAGATAGATTCTTGGAAACAAAATGTGTTGGACCATGCTATGTGGAGAGGGAAGTCAGGAATGGAATGGGAAAGGAGGGGTGTCAAGAACTCATCATAACCATGCCTCGACTCGCCCAAGCGGTCATCAAGGCATCAAGTGGACATACAAAGTAAACTACTAAATAATAATAGAAATAATGCGCCATAAGGGGTAAGCACGGCAAAGGGAAAATACACGAAATTACAAGTGAGTACTGTAGTGTATTGTATGTTTCTTATACAGTTTATGTAATTTCTGTTGTGGGGGGGATCTCCGTATGGGTTCCTGGGTCCTATTGTGGTGGGGGAGGGGGGGGGGAACAAGAATAGACCCACTGCCTCACCAAGCATGTCGTAGGAGTCGACTAGAGACCGTCGTGATCTACATGAGAGGCAAGGAACCTACAGTCTGCAAAAAAATAATATGTTTAAAAAAAAACCGGATTTGCAGTGAGTGTGCACGCTACTGATACAAGACTTCAAGTCCGGAGGTGGGCAAACAACCAGAACTAGGCCGGAGTTTACAGTTGTTGAACGTACAAAACAAAAAAAAAATGAAGTAAAGGGGGAGGCGAATATTGTTTGTGTTTTCAACTTGTGGTCTCCCCGATCTAGTATTGTGCATCTATGATCCAAAGAGCAAAGTGGGAAACTTTTGTGAATGATATGGAGGCGATGAAACATTGAGGAAATTCTGGAAACTGCAAAATGCAGATGCAAAGAAAAGATCTGCCTATGACAGTTGGAACAATTTGTAGAGACGATGGTGTGCACATTGTGGTGTTAGAAAGTGGAAGAATGGGCCTCAGTTTGAATAATGAGTAGACAGAAGTAATGGTGGTATCAAAGAAACAAATTATTCATAAATGTGTACATACATCCAGTTTTAACATATGGCTGTGAATCCTGGACAATCGGTAGGCAGGCCAAACAATTTTTAGAGGCCTCAGAGATGTGGTTTTATAGAAGAATGCTTAGAATACCTTGGACAGCCAAAAAGAGCAACCAAGAGGTTTTGAAAGAGGCTGGAGCCCAAAGACAACTTATCACAGACATCAGAAGGAGACTCATCATTTTTCGGCCATGTTATGAGAAGAGGGAAAATAGAACATGTTGTGACCACTGGAAAGATCTGTGGAAGGAGGGATAGAGGAAGACAATGAGAGAAGATGCTTGACAGTCTTGTTGCATGGCATGGAGGTGTATCGGCACACAAACTGATACATGCTGCAGGAGATCGCATATTATGAAGAGGCATGATCGCCCACGCCAGTCGGCAAGGCACCTGATGATGATGTGCGTGTGACAACAGACAAGGAGAAAGGGAAGGCTTTTCTCCATAGGTTTATAGCTCAGACAGATCATAATGATGTAGACATCAGGGATGCAGTTAGAGAGGAGTTAGCTGGCACCTTAAAAAAATATGCATTATGAAGACAAAAT